AGGGAATTTCCCCCTGTATCCAAAATAGTATTCCTTTAATACCTCCTAGTATTAACACTTATTCCTGTGTATAAGCTACTAAGTAATCAAGAACTAGTAGCACTTCTTGATTAACCTTTCTTTTCTTACTATAAAAGAAAGTTACTTGCCTTAACAACTGTTCTAAGTAGTAGAGTAATTTATCTACCCACTTTGAATGTTGATTATTAAGATTAGTTAATATTATAAAGTAAGTATTAGAGTTGATGTACCTGTGTGCTAGCTCTAGGTTTGAGTTCCCCTTAGTAGACTAGAGCTTTACTAGAATAGTAAAGTATTAGATTGTACTCTAGATTAGGAAATCCTCAATTGTCTTATGTAGAGTTACTGTACTTAGAATGTCTTAGACTATTAGACTTCACTATGTAGTATATAAGGCAGACACTTGCTTGATGTCTTAATAAGAGAGAGTTTTTGGGGCACTCCTACTATACTTGTTAAAAGGTTATGAGCCTTAGTACTCATTAAATACTCTTACACACTTGCTCTTACAGAACACCTTTGTCTCCTACTAGTCTACCAAGCCATAGACCTCCCTCTCCCCCTAAACCTATTACAATGTTGTCTACAACACATATCTTTGTTAATGCTATAATGAAGGACTCTAACATTATAAAGTTCTTTGAGGGAACAGAAAAGTTGGCTAGTGTAAAGGGATACAAGATATAGTACTTATGTATACACAGTGTATTTGCTGTCATGATACTCTCAGACCATCTTAAGCATGATCCCCCTTCCTCTAATGATGCTAGCATATGTACAGACAATGTTTTGTATCATTGTATAACAAAAACAATAACTGATACAATTTATACAAACTTCACAACACATACAAGTGTTAGAAGTCTCATGAAGGCACTTTCTGAACAATACAACATTCAAACAACAATGACACATACTGTAGACATATCTATGTTGTTTACAGTAAAAGAGTATGTATTACAGTTTGATAAGATGTTAGACAATATTGAACAAATCTACAGACAGTTGTCTGTACATAATAAAGCCCCTAATAACAATACATACATCTCAGCAATTAACCTTACTACTCCTCATGAGTATAGATGGGTAGCAACAATGCTAGACAGACAGATTACCTATTATAATCAACTACCAACAGTTACAGTAGCTCAGAAAGACATTCTGATGCTAGCTAAGTTGATACACAAATTACAAAACACATATACTGAGTACTATTCTTAGTACTCTCAAACGAAACAAGATACTGAATAAGACAGTCTACAAACAAAAGGCAAAAGTGTAGCTAAAGGTAAAACAAAGCCTTATAATAAAGTTAAATGCTACAACTGTAATAAGTACAGACATATGTCAAAAGACTGTCAAAACCCTCTAACAAGCAAAACAATAGAAGCTCAAAAGAAAAAGTATAGGTAAACAGCTACTGCTTCTACTACTACTACTACATTGTCTTAACCTACACTTAATGTAGTAGTATTCATTAGAGACAATAACGAAACAGTATTCATTAAAGATGTTAATAAAACACTAATGCTAGAGTCTACAATTGTAGAAGCCTTAGTATCAAGTTCTGGTAGCTTACCTGCTCAATCCACTCTATCTGCTGAATCTGACATATTCTTAGCATTCAAAGTACAAGAGGATAGTGTTATACAAGTAGACAACTTTATGAACTCATTTGACAATATGAAAGAAGTCATTAAGGAGTTCAATTACAATCCAAACATATGTATCAATGTAATACATTGTAATGATACTGAACTAATACATTGTATTAATATATTGGACTCTAGTGTAAATGTACACACTACTCCATACTTGTTCTATCTTACAAACGTCTGGAACTCAACCCTAATAAATGTCACAATTGTAAATAAATTGTCATTCATACTTAGCAAAAGTAGAGTGATGACATTTAACATAAAACTATAAGACAAAGCTGATGAGCATACTAAGGTGAATACAATTTCACTACAAAACATATACTATCATTCTAATCTGAACTTCACACTTGTTAGTAAAGTACTATTATGTAAAGTAGGATATGTTTTAACAAAAACAAACAATGAATGTATTATTTATTCTCCTACTCATATAAAGATTAGTGAAATACATGTACAAAATAACTTGTATATGATAGTTTCTCATCATAATAAACAATCTATTAACACAATCACTATTGTTGATTTACATTGACAAATGGGTTATGTTAATTTTGATTACTTGCACAAACTCATATGAGAGTATCCTAAGATTATAAGTCAAAGGATAACAGACAATAAAAATGCATAGTGTACAGATTGTATCAAAGCAAACATACAATGTAATGAAATACCAAAAATACAAACAACACCTCTTATACAATGTTATGGAGATCATCTCCATATTGACATTTAGGGACCTACTCTAGTACAAGCTTACAGTAAGTACAAATATCTTTTTACCATTGTAGATGATACTACACAATGGGTAACTATACTACCTATGTAGTATAAAAGCAATGCTTTCACAGAATATGTAAAGT